GAAGCTTTGGGCAGTAAGAAAAGTCCTGCTGGATAAGGGACGAAGAGGGCTCAGTGGGAGAGCATGTGCTCTGCCTGCAGATGGTTCAGTCCCTGGCATCTCCAGGTAGGGCTGCCATATCTGGGGAGTTGCTACCAGTCAGTGCAGACAAACCTGAGCTGGGTAGACCAATAGTCGGACTCCGAATAAGGCAGCTTCATGGGTTCAAAAGGATGCTACCCTTGGAAACCATTTTTTCCTCTCTCTCCAAGATGACTGCCAAGAAGAAGCAGGGTGCCGGAGGGACAGCACTAGCTCCCAAACTTTTCTAAAAGGCCCTATTTCATGAATAAAGTTTGGGGCTCTTTTTTTTTTAAGACAATTTAAAGAACAGTAAAAACAGATCTGTGAATATGGCTTTGATGCAAATCGAGCCTTTACAGGTGCAAATAACAAATTGTCATTGTGTTTCATGCATACATTGATAATACTCTTGATTTTTTTTTAAAAAACAAACAAACAAACACCCAGCTTTGAACTTCAAGGGATTGGAAGATATAAAGGGGTAGCATACATTCAAAGTGTTCCATATCCATTTTGAAGGAAAGAAGGGGTGCACACAGGTGTGTTGTGTGTAAATAGCTCTTAAAGCAAAAACAAACGAACAAGATACAGCGCTACCTCATAGTTTCTTTCTTTCTCTCAGTAAAGAAACGGTTCTCTTTGGTGCACAGTGTCTACTGTCAAGTGGGAAACAATGTGATTCCCCCCCCTCACTATTTGCTACTATTAGGGTGAAATGACCAAGGGGAAGAGACAAGACTTCAAGAAGTGTTTATTTTCAACTAAATGCTGTGGTGGGAAGTGTGTGTACATGCGATGGGAGGCCCTTTATACCAGCGGCGGAGAGCAGGTGGCCCTCAAGGGCTCCAACCCTCATCAGCTCCAGCCAACTTGGCCAATGACCAGGGATTGTGGGAACTGGAAGGTCCAACAACATCTAGACACCACCCAAGGCCAAGGTGGTGGGTCATTTATTTATTTTTGTTGGGAAAGAAAAAAAGGGGAGCATGCCACTTATCTCCGGGTCACAGATGAGGAACCTGTGTGTCTCCAACTGTTGTTGTTGGGCTCCAAGTTCTCTCAGCCCCAGTTGACCCAGTCAACATTGAGGGATGATGAGAGTTGTAGTCCAACCACACCAGAGGGTCAAAGGTTCTCATCCTGCTCCAAAGAAACAAACGTAATTTTTCTTTCTGTCAAGTAAACTGTGTGGCAGCCTCCGAGGCTACGTAGGGGGCAGCCATAGAAGGGACAATGGCAATGATTTTGTTCCACCTATGGCATATCAGGTCCTTGGCAGGTTTGGAAGGTGCCTAAACTTAGGCTGAAATGCTATACTTCCTTATGTGGCTGTTAGTCTCATTGACCTACACTGGGCTTGCTTTCGAGTCAACACATGTAGGACTGAACTGTTAGCCTGTACTCCTGTGGCTGGGAACAAGTCCCATTGACTATGCACAGACTTATGATATGTGCTGTTCAGATGACTGGGCAAGTTCTTTTTATTCTCCAACTTTAGGGTGATTTGTGATTTCTGCTTCTGTTTGCTTCAGGCTATATTCTGTAAATGCATCCAACTGTGGACTCTCATGTGATCTGATTGAGTAACTCTAGTGAAAACCACGGGAAAGCATTTTGAAGCTTGTAGGGCTGCCATCAAGGGCCTTCATTTTTTTTGTGATGCAGCAAACCGAGTATTATTTCCACTGTTTTTTAAATGATTATGCACATGCACATGAAAAATAAGTGTGTGTGTAAGAGGGGAGCCAAGAAACTCTGATTTCATTGGAGTTCCTGATTCTGTGCCTGATTAAACAGCTGCCTACAATTCTAGATAAATCACTTTCCTTGTTTAAGGTTTAAAAATATCAAAGCCTACTCTCTGTGGCTTTCAAGGTGTTTGGGGAAAGAAAGAATACACTTCAAATGCCAACATTTCCAGTTTTATCCATTTCTGCTTGCAGCTGTGCACTGATTTCAACAGCACACACACTCTCTCCCCCTCCCACCTTTTTAAAAAAATAACCCCCCCCCCAATCTTTTAAGCCATGCTTCAGATAATCTATATTTAGCACTAAATGGCACGCTAAATTTTAGAAACATTATGACATAGTGCTTTGGTTCAAATAATTGCTGGCATTATCTATGCCCGATCAGACAGAAAAAGACAACAAAGGCTAAAAGAGCATCAGCTTAAACCTGCCCGGTATCTGTGATTCCCCCCTCCTCTGCTAAAAGGAAAGTGCTACAACGATGGTTCCCAAACCATTTTGAGCTACTGCACCCTTGGTTCCATAAACTCATCCCCAGCGCTTCCCACCCTATAAAAACCACTATGGTTTGCGCAACCCACTAAAGATAACCATGCAATAAAACTCAAAACAATAACAGTGATTTGCACATTTATTCAAGGTTGAGTTAAAACGATTTAAGTTTAATTAACTCAATAAAAGTGACAAACTTGATCCAGTGATATCAGCTTTTCAAAGTGTGATAGTCAGTTACACTTTCATAGTCCACCTGCTGTCCCCTTGCCTCTCTGCACCTGCCTAGTTATCCCATTGCACCCAGGGGGCAATACCGCCCAGCTGGGGAACCACTGTACTACGATAAGCATCTAAATGCAGCCCTCAGGTGGGTAACCGTCTTTTGCCCGACATGAGCCCTGATTGGGCATTTAGGAACACGTTGACTGTAACTGGGTAAGGCAAGAAAGTGGGGTCACCCATATTTACGTACTGGTGTGCGGTCCAACAGTGGGGTAGGTCACATGACTCCCCCGCCCCCCCCCCCAAAATGTCTCACATTACAGTCACACATTGTCAAATGCCTCAACAGAGCTGTTCCCAAAAACTGCACCACACGCTGATCCTATAAAAAGCCAAAGGGGATGAATGCCTTTGCCGACCAATTTGCTTTAAAAAATCAAAAATAGAAATACCCATTTACCTCCCATCTGAAATATAATCCCCCATTAAAAACTTTTGGGGCTTAGCGAGAAACAAGCAGAGTTTTCAGCCGGCTCCAGATTCCGAAACGCAGAAGTAATTTAAGAGGCTGCAAGCCTGGGATTTAACGTTATCAATACGGAGGCTCACTCCAAATGTAAAAATGGCAGCTCCCTAGATTATAAATTTAAAGTCTGCTTGATATTTCCACTCGGTGCTATAACAGGCAGAAGACGGAAAACAGCAGCCTTGTAACTGCCGTTCCAACATCATTCATCTCCGTGTTCGACCAAAGTCCCTTTTGGCTTACACGGTTTAAGTTAAGGCTTTTATTTATTTATTTATTTATTTATTTATTTTTCTGTTTCCAGAAAGAACATTGCAAGCAAGGGAACATGAAACAAGCATAAAAGGAGAAGTATTTACAACAAGGGCGCTAGGAAGAAACTTTGAAGCTGTGAGTTTGCTGGAAGAGCGATTAGAATACCCCCTGTAGGCATCAGCCAGCAAACAGGTGTGTTTATAATTAAACATCAGCAACAAACCCGTAAACCTCAAGTTTTGCCAAGTGTGAGGCTCCGGCAGTTATTAGATATAACACCTTTTACAAGTACTCCAAGAGGCAAAATATTACAGACACAACAGAAAAAGGGGTTCCCAAATGATGGACAGCGAGCTTCAGGTTGTCTGTGAATTTACAATCAAGGATGGGAGAGGAATCAATCACCGCATTCGTACTGATGTTTAATTGTACTTTATCGTCTATTTCTGATACAGCATTTTATTTTGAGACAAGTTGCATTGTTTGGAATTCAAACCTTAATTCAATTAAATGTGATAGGTAAAAAAAGAAATTGAAATATCATACAGTGTCCTGCGCAGCCCAATACAATTGCTACAAAAGGTGGGGGGGGGGGTCATGAAGTGCTGCTCTAAAACCCACAGCAGTTTTCAGGTGGTCCATGGAGGAGAAAGGGTGGTGCAATGTGTTTAAATGTGGTTCGAGCCACCCAGGGATGGCTTAAGGTCCCTTCCAACTCTACAATTCTATAATAAAACATAATGTAGGAACAGGGATCAGATCATTGGGCCATCTAGCTCAGCACTGTCTGCACCAGGCTTGGGGAATCTCAGGCCCAGGGTCTGAACGTGGCCCTCCAAACCTCTCTATTCGGCCCTCAGGACTTTCCTGGGGCCGTACTTCTGTGCCTGCTCTGCCTCCACCTCAAGTGGTTTTGCTTGGCTGGAATGCATATTTGCTTGCCTGGGTAAAGGTAAAGGTACCCCTGCCCATACGGGCCAGTCTTGCCAGACTCTAGGGTTGTGCGCCCATCTCACTTAAGAGGCCGGGGCCCAGCGCTGTCCAGAGACACTTCCAGGTCATGTGGCCAGCATGACAAAGCTGCATCTGGCGAGCCAGCGCAGCACACGGAACGCCGTTTACCTTCCCGCTGGTAAGCGGTCCCTATTTATCTACTTGCACCCGGGGGTGCTTTCGAACTGCTAGGTTGGCAGGCGCTGGGACCGAGCAGCGGGAGCGCACCCTGCCACGGGGATTTGAACTGCCGACCATGCGATCGGCAAGTCCTAGGCACTGAGGTTTTACCCACAGCGCCACCCACGTCCCGCTTGCCTGGGAACAATCCCAAAGAATCCTGGGAACTGAAGTCTCCCTTCCACAGAACTACAGTACTCAGCACCCTTAGCAAACTACAGTTCCCAGGATTCTTGGGGGGGGGGAGTCATGTGCTTTAAATGTATGTGTGGATCTGCCTTAAGATGTTCCTACATCCAGGTTAGCAAAGAAGGGTTGATTCCCAACACGTTATTTTACCAGTGTTAAAAGAAGTACAGTGGTACCTCAGGTTACATACGCTTCAGGTTACAGACTCCGCTAACCCAGAAATAGTGCTTCAGGTTAAGAACTTTGCTTCAGGATGAGAACAGAAATTGTGCTCTGGCGGCACGGCAGCAGCAGGAGGTCCCATTAGCTAAAGTGGTGCTTCAGGTTAAGAACAGTTTCAGGTTAAGTACGGACCTCCGGAACGAATTAAGTACTTAACCTGAGGTACCACTGTACAAAGAAGCTTGTCTCCTTGCTAGTATCTCCCATCAGAAGACTCTGGGAAACCAGGAAAGGATCACCACTGCAAACAGGAGGACAAGTACCATGTCCCTAAATAAATGTTTTGCAGTGTACCTCCTGGACTTATGGACATAGCCATGAGATTTAAACCACTCAACTGATTCTTTAATGCTGTGTGGACATGGTGCGTACCCCAGCTCCCTCTTGGCCTTTTCCATGCTGAAATAATTAGAGACACCACTTTTGTAAACTTCTGTGCGAGTGAGGAAGGGCTGGAAGTTATATAAGCGCCCAACCACGGAATGTACCATCTCAGTGAGAAATGCGAAGTAGTAAACAACAGACAGAGGGAGGCGGTAAGTTGGAAAGGGGTAGCCTAAGCCTTCTACAAAAGGCCGGAAAAAATCAAAGTTGTTGATTGGTCTGCCATCTGAAATGAAGTAAGCTTGACCAGCTGACCTGTGACCCTTACTATCTCCCAGAGCTTCGGAAGCTAAGATGTGAGCTTCCACCAAGTTGTCCACATGTACAAAGTCCATTAGGTCTCTGGGATCTCCAAACAGGAACTGAAACAAGCCCTGTTCGAGGTAGCCAAGGATCCTCGGCAGATGTCTCTGCTCTCCAGGCCCATAGATGGCGGCAGGTCTCAGGGCACAGGTCCTCAGCAACCCTTGCCCTCCCTCAAGGGAGCTTCCATTTGCTTCCAGAACCTTCATCTCAGCTAAGGCTTTGGTCCTCGAGTAATGGTCAGGGTGGAGATGAAGAGGGAAATAAGGCAGAGACTCATCCCCGTTTTCGATCGCTTCGCCCCCAAACACCACATTGTAGGTGCTCGTGTAAACCAGCCTTGAGACGCCCACTTTCTTGCAAGCTTCAATTATGTTTTCTGTCCCCTTGAGGTTGACGTCTTCTATCAGTTTTCGGTTCAGCTGCTCCCGGCCAGACATCCCATAGGAAGCAATATGGAAGACGCAGGTTGCACCTCGGAGTGCCCTTTCCACTTCAGAGACCACACGGATATCACCCTGCACAAATTTCACTCCTTGTGGCATCGGTTGGATGGGCTCGGTGACATCAAAGAGGATGACATCTACTCCCTTCTTGGAAAGGGCATCACCTAGGCTGGAATGTGACAGGCAATCCAATCCAAATAATAAAATATATGACTTTGAAACAAACACCTTACATCAAATAAGGTAATATTCAATACCAGTTAGAATATATTATTGCGCAATCAAAGGAACTCTCAAAACATCAGCAAATAATAATAATTAAACAGAAATCTACCTAACACCCCCCTGTTTTCACTCAAAGGGGCTTTTCACGGTTTTACTGATAATAACTACGTGGTCTGCAGACTTTCATCAGTAGACCAACCCAACCTAAGCCTCCATTGATTAAACTGGTGGGAATCAAAATTATGAAATTACTAGGTAGCACATCTGCTTTACATGCAGAAGGTCCCAGAGTTCAAACCCTGGCATCTACAGGTAGGGCTGGGAGAGGCTCCTGCCTGAAGCCCTGGAGAGTTGCTGTCAGTCAGTGCAGACAATACAGAGCTAGATTTTGAAGATTGAAGTGGGACCTTCTGCATGCATCTAGCACTGAGCTACGGCCTTTCCCCATAGCTGTATAGTGTATGTGTGTACAAAGAAGTGTGTGTGTGTGTGTGTGTGTTGGTGAGGGGAGAAAGAAATTAAAATAATAAATTATTTAAAACAAACATATTGCTTCATTGCTAAATATGATTGCTCCATGTGTCCTAAAATAAAAGTATACTAACCGGAAACCAAAATAACCACCTCCTCCTGTAATAAGGACTGTTTCCTTGACGATGTTTTCCGCATCCATGCTGTGCTTTTTGCTGCTACTTCCAGTCATTCTCTATAAATAGATAAAGATAACACATCATAGCTGTTATTCTAATAATACAAAAAATAAAAAGATGCCGTGGCTCTTAATAGCTCATGAATTGCAAAACCTGCACATTACAGGATTTTGTTCCGAGCGATTGCTCCCTCCAGATTTCCCCAATGCCATTTTAGATGTGTGCATATATATATTTGTGCCCCCCCCCACCGACCATATTTTTCCATGTATAAGATGCCCCCATGTATAAGACAACTCCTATTTTTTTGAACCCAAAATTAAGAAATTAAGTTGTTTAGCTTTTTTGGGGGGTGGGGGAGGTCACTTCCGCCAATCGCTCACCCTCCTGCCTGCCACTGCCAATCGCTTGCCACAGCCACTGCCGATAGCACACCTCGCCGCAGCCGCCAATTGTCTGCCAGCTCGCCGCCACCAACAGCCCACCCACCCACTTGCCACAGCCACAGCCAATCACCAGCAGGCCTTGCCATAGCCGCCAATCGCCTGCCTAATTGCCGCAGCCACCAATCACCCGCCCAATCGCTGCTGCCATCTCCTGCTTGCTGCTGCCATTAATCGCACGTCCTCCCTCTACATTCACTATCCATGTATAAGACGACACCCAATTTTTGCCTAATTCTTTTTAGCAAAAAGCATCGTCTTATACACGGAAAAATACGGTATATCACAACTGACTTGCTGCTTTGGTGCAAAGTGCACTTAGCCCATTTTGTAACCAGAGGCAGCTAGCCAGGTGCAAACAGAGTATGAAGGGAGGTTGCCAGCACCTGTGAGGCAATCGTAATTTCCTCGAACGTTCTGGAGCTGAGTGGCACTCTATAGGTTGCCAAAATGGAACCAGCCTTGCAGAAGAGGTTGGAAGAAGCATTCTTAAAATATAGGGAGGAAATGAGGACTTAACATGCTCTGTGGGCACAGGGTGCTGAGCATCTACTGGGGTGAAAAATGGGGGGGGGGGAGGAAATGAAATGGCATGTTCTGGAAAAGGGTGTTGCTCTCTGGTGCCTCAAACAGGAGCCTTCCACACTGAAAGATTATGTTGCATAACCAGCACAGCTATCTTTTCCCAGCAACCAGTGCTCAGGAGTATACTGCTTAGCCACACAGAAGTTGCCACCCCTGCACAAAGGCTAAATGATTTGAGCGGATTGTCAAATAGGTCATTTGAGATTCAGGTCTGCACTAGGTCTGCAATCCTCTGCATGCTTATTTGGCAGTGGCTCCCATTACTATCCATAAAAAATGCAGTCAAGTGAACATGAATAGAATTGGGTTGTGGGCAGCCTTAGACAAAACACTATTCTCTTGGCTTCAGTTTCCCCCCCTCAACATCTGTAAAATGGGAACAATAGTACTTATCAGATATCCATCCATTAGATACCACATCTCATAAATAGCTAAAATTGTGTTTATTAGTTAGGTGTCCCTTTATAATATTTCCAGGGGAGTTCACAATAAAACAATAACAACAATTTAATAATATAGGGTTGCCATATTTCAAAAAGTGAAAATCTGGACACAAAAGTTTTGCCCAGAAATCAGCAGTAAAGAGTACGTATTGTGCTATCTCTCCCAATGTTTTAAAAAGACATCTTGCAAAAACAGATCAGTTGCTATCACTCAGCCTAGTGGACCTCACAAGATTGTTGTGAAGATAAAATTACCGTAGGTGGGAGAGGGAATGCAATATTGGTCAAACTGGGTCTACCACTTCTCTGCTTAGCACAGAAAGCACTTCACAGGAATAAAATCCACACTAAAGTGCTAAATCTCAAAGCCCTAACATTTCACCCATCACTATCATACCAAAGAACCTTTGTCCATCATTATCAATCTGATATTTGAAGAATCCAGGATAAGCCATGAATTGCAATAGCACTCCAGCCATAAATGGAAAACTTTAGATATAGATGAGAACTGGTGGCTTATCAGGCATATCATGAGGTCCTTGAACATGAAGCAAGGTTGATGATTGGAGTCTACAGTCACTGCTAGACTGTTGCTATCTTAGCAAGTTCAGATTGTTTTCTTTCTTTTTTCTTTCTTTATTTTTACATTTATATCCCACCTGCCCTCCAAGGAACTCAATGTGTCATACAAAGTTCTCCTCATCTCTATTTAGCCTCACAACGACCCTTTAAAGCAGTATCATAACACTCTGAAAGAGGAGGGAAGCAGAACTTCTTCTTCTGTAGCGTGTAAGACCTCTGGGTGGGAATTGTAGTGGATCAGTCCAATTAATACAATAGGATTACACTTGACTGCATCATCTGAATGGGACTGATGGAGATACATTTCTAAAACCACACTTTTTCTACCCACTCACTGACCGTTTAGTATCAGGTGTTTATTAAGAGGACGGTTGCACTTAAGGCCATAATTGAGGTACTCTGCACAGTATCAATTCAAGGGAGAGCTGAGCCCTGGCATCAAAAACAAATCCTAGGGCCAAATCCAAGCTCCCTTCACAATTATTATAGTTCATGGCTTTGTAGAGCCATGACATGAATTTTTTTTTTAAGCACTGGTGCCAAATTCAAGCTCCGTAGTAATTCCCAATCGTCTCTTCACCCCACGCCCTGCAGTGGAACCTTAACCTTTTGTAACACCACCCCCTTGGTTCCATGAACACATCTCCAGTGCTTCCCATCCTATGTAAAGAATTTGTTTAGGATACAGTGGTACCTCGGGTTACGGACGCTTCAGGTTACAGACGCTTCAGGTTAGAGACTCCGCTAACCCAGAAATAGTGCCTCGGGTTAAGAACGTTGCTTCCGGAGACCACAGATTCACTGAAGACTGGAGTAAATTTGTAGACTATTTGAAAAGTATTTGCGATGAACAATTAACGTTTGTAGGTTTGCAAGAGGCTCTGTGAAAATAATAATAGAAATATTGTAAAAAAGGGAATAAGAGGGAGGAGGTTTTTTAATAAAAGGCAATATTAGATTAAGAAATGCGGAAGGATTAAAACGGAGGATTTGCAGAAGAGCTGAGGGAAGTCCAAAAAAATGTATCTGTGAAAAAATTGTGTTATGTGTTTTTATATTTTTGTATTGCAAAATGAATAAAAATAATTAAAAAAAAGAAGAAGAACGTTGCTTCAGGATGAGAACAGAAATTGTGAGGCGGCAGCAGGAAGCAGTGGCGTAGCGTGGGGGGTGCAGGGGGGGCCGGCCGCACCGGGCGCAACATCTGGGGTTAGGGCAAATCCATGGGTTAGGGGGCGCAAATCCACAGGTTAGGGGGCGCAAATCCACGGGTTAGGGGGCGCAAATTACTTGCCTTGCCCCGGGTGCTGACAACCCACGCTACACCACTGGCAGGAAGCCCTATTAGTTAAAGTGGTGCTTCAGGTTAAGAACAGTTTCAGGTTAAGAACGGACCTCCGGAACGAATTAAGTTCTTAATCCGAGGTACCACTGTACTGGTTTGCACAGCCCACTATAGAAGATGATTAACACAATAGAATTCAAAACAGTAACAGTTAATTGCACATTTAGTCACTACCTAAGTAAAACTATTTTATTAATTCCACGGAATGGATGGACTTGATCTAGTGATGGCAGCTTTCCCTGCATTCTCTTGCCTCTTGGCGCCCCCCATGCCCAAAGCCCCGCAGAAGGCGGAGCCGCCCACTTAGGAAACTACAGTACTGTACAGTACTTCTCTACAGGCTTGCTCCAAATAGCCAAGAGGGAGCAGCATAACGCCACCTTCTGCAAAGCAGCCACAGACAAGCCTGAACGAGGAACTTCCCAATGCAAGCCCACTCCCCAATTCCGAGGAGCCTGCATACCCCTTTCTCAGTAATTTAGCCCTCATTACAATCTGTGCAATACGAGCTTGGATTTGTGGGGAGGAGCTATGAACGAAACGGACCGCGCTGAAGACTGGGGCAATTAAAAGAGCCAGTTCACTGGATTCCTCCCCTCGCCCCGCTCTAGAGCAGCAGGGTTATTCCCCCTCCGCCCCACACAGGGTCTGATCTCCCCTACTCCCTTACCAAACAAAGTTTCTGACTTTCTCCTCTTCGCAGTGTGCGATGAGCCGTCTTTCCCGCCCCATCACCCTATATGCCGGCTCCTCCCTATAGGGAGGGCGCGTTACGAAACCACCCCCTGCAGAATTATGCACCTTCCCCTCGCATCGAGGCACGCAGGGAAAGGAAGATGTGCCTATCCCCACTCCGTGCCGACCGGACCCTTTAAAACAAAGCAGCCGCGCCAAAGCACGACGCCAAAACTTCTCACGCTTTTATCTCTGCAGTCTGAAACCAGCCGGCACCTCGCTGGTTTCAGTAGCGCCAACATGGCGCCCTCCATAGCGGATATTTTCCGTACAGCAAGATGTCTGAACCCGAGGACCGGGCTTTCGTACAGCAAAACGGTGCTCTCTACTCGGGATAATGTCGTACAATAGGATGATAGCTGCTTTTGTTTATGCTATTATTATTATTATGCCTCCTCCTATTATTATTTGCTGTTGCTTCTCTTTTTATTGTTGTTGCTCTTTGTTTCTGATGCTATTGTATTATTTTATTAGTTATTTCTTCTGCTACTGTTATTACTTGCTGTAGCTTCTTTAGTTTTTATTGTCATTTTTAAACCAGTTTATATATTATTCAATTTTCTGTTTTACAATTTAATGTACTCATTTTTACATCCTTATGATATCAATGACTTCCCTTATCTTTCCATGGTTCATTTTACATATCATAAATCCCTTTATATTTTACAAAAACTATACCTTTCAGTATTCCATTATTGCATCCATCAAAACTTATTTACACTGTTGAATTTATCTTAATGCTGCCAGCGTTTTCAGCTGTGCACAGTTATTTCCCGTATATTCAATAAACATTTTCCAATCTTCTCTAAACATATGTAACATATGTTATTGTTCTCTTATTCTATATGTTAAGTCTGCAAGCTGCGCATATTCTGTCAATTTAAGTTGCCGTTCTTTGGCTGGGACCTCTCTCATTTTCCATTTTTGAGCTAACAAAACATGGGCCCCAGTGGTATCGTACATAAATAACGTTTTTTGACACCTGGGAATTTCAATCTGAATTATCTGGTTTTTGGAGGAAAGTACTTTTAAACATTTTTTTCATTTTTTTATAATAATATTTATTCCTTTTACAACAATTTAAACACTTACAAAAAAAACAAAGAAAGAACAGTACATTACAATACAAAAACACTACATAAAAATTAACAAAACAAAACAAAAACAATTTAAAAACACATCAAAAGAAAGAAAAAAAGAAAAAACTTCCAATATATTATCTTTCTTTCACATATTTCCACGGCCTCCTCACACCTCCCTTTTTGTATTCCACTTCTATTAATTATTTCAGCAATTCCTTTCCATCTTCCCCTGTTTTCTATCCTATAATTATCTTAACACCTTTTAACCTTATTTTCCTTTAATACTCTATTAATCTATTTATACTTAATTCCTTATAACATTTCTACTGAAGCCATATAACTTCATTCCAAAATTCTTCTAACATTTATTAATTTTACAATATTTCTATAAATAATCTTTAAACTTTTTCCAGTCTTCTTCCACCGACTCTTCTCCCTGGTCTCGGATCTTGCCAGTCTTTTCCGCCAATTCCATCTAGTCCATCAACTTCATCTGCCATTATCCAACACTTCAGTGCTTTCAAGAGACAGCCAGTCTCTCAGCCAGCAAAAAGCAGATGGTTCACAACAAAGTTTAGGGGTCTGGCAGGGCAGGTCCACCTCCTTCTTTGGCATCCGTCAATATCTTAAATTTTACTCGAGGCTTCCTGCCCTGCCAAACAAATCCAGAAACATCCCTCTGCCACCTCCTGAAACAATCCATCCCATCCAAAACTTGCACTGTTTGGAACAAAAGCAACATCCCTGGCAACACAGCAAGCCTCATCCCCACCACAACAGCTCGGCCCAACAATAACAACTTCAGATTTATCCATATTTCCCAATCCCCCTTCTCTTCAATCCAACGTCCTTCACAGTTACCCTTAAATAAATTCACATTTTTGGCAGTCATACTGACCCCCAAAAGCCTCTCTTTCTCAACCGATGTTAGTCCTGTCTCCTCCTGAAGCTCTGTCAAGCTTTGCTTTCCCAATTCAGGTAGGGCTCTGGTCCTCAAATTCATCTGTTTTTCTTTAAGTTCCATCATAACAGATGTCAACTTATGTTCATCGAGTTGCCTTTGAATAGATGGGGCTCTCTCACACTCCAGTTGTATTGTTTTACATTCAGCAGCAAGGGTTTTCTCCCTGACTTCATCCGCAGTTTGCCGTATCAAGGTAAATTCCTGTATCAATTTCTGGATGGTTTCTGTGTTGGTGTTCACCTTTTGTCCCAGATTATTTAAATTTTCTACAATTAAGTCAATTTTATTATTTGCAACGTCCACTTTCACATTCATCACGTCTGTTTTCCTGTGAAGCTGTTCCAGCGAATCGTTTAGTTTCACTAATGCGACCACTAAGGCCTCTTCTGTCGACATTTCGTCTGTTTTTTCCTTTCCATTTGCCATAACACTTGAGAGATTCAAGGTCAATCCCAGAGTCTCAGAGCTTTTTATCTTGCAGCTGGAAATCCCCCTAGCCCAGCTTTTATAAAGTAACCAATTTCAGAGACTTCCACTAGGGGGAAACAGTTTCTATTTATAATAGTCAACAATGCCCCTTTAAACGCAACTCATACAATCCAAAGTTAGTTTCAGTTTTCAGTTACTTTTTACTTCTTTTTAGAAGCAGCCGGAGACAATAGAAACGATGTATTTCTCTTTGCTAGCTGTCAAGGAACGTTCTAAGTGCTGTCAATGAACATTCCAAAACGTCAGTCCTACTAGCAGCCCGTTTCCAGGGTCAGAGCGGCGGTATTTTAACTCCCTTCACTCTCTCCTGCAGGCATACTCAGTCCGCAACTTCCCCCCCTCTTCTCCTGCCTCCAAGGGGGGATTTATGCTCTTTACTGATGGAAATTTAGTCTTTTACAAAAGGCTTTCCAAGACTTCAGCCTGCAGCCTCCTTGCCTCAGTCTGTTTACAAATAGGGAAGGCGGACTTCCTGTTTTGAACCTCCCCGTTTCAATGCCAAATTAAACGTTTAAAATCCGATTCTCCCGTTTCAGCTCTACTCACGGGTAATTACTTTGGAGTCAAATTGTCCACAGGAAAAAGTCAATGCTCTCCGGCAACAGCTATGCGGCTTCGCTCTGTGGAAGAAGCAGACGATTCGAAGCACCGCACCACACCGCTCACCCCACGTCGCTCCGGATCCCCGAAACCAGGTTTCCCCGCGAGTAGGGGAGGCGCAAAAGGTGCCCACCAAATCCCACGTTCACAGGCTTCTCCTGCCTGTGATTTTTACCGGTCTCCGCCTTCGCCGTGGCGGCCAGACCCAAATTTCCACGGAGCAGATTCCTCCCGATCAGAGGAAATCCGCCATTGCCGGAGGCACCAACCTGGAGGCTCCCTTTAAAAATAAATAAATAATGTTTTAAACATTTTTTTTCAATTCATTATGGATCATTTCCCAATACTCTTTTATTAAACCAATTTAGTATGTTTTAACATCTGATTATAAGTCAGATTTAATTATTATTTTTGAAAGTTTAAAATAGGTTAAAATAATAAAATAATTCCTTCTAGACAAGAGTGGATATAAAAATTTACTGAATATGCTGAATTAGATAGCCTATCTGAAAAAATAAAAAATAAACCGAGAATTGAATTTGTATCAAAATGGGAGGCCTTCAGAACATATCTTTAAACAAAATTATACCATATTAAAATCTGTGGCAGCTTTTGAGTGATCCCAGCAGTTTTTATTAATTGCTTATATAAATATAAACATTCATAAATTGTGAAAATATTAATATAAAAATAGTATTTTGATATGGCAATAAATTTATGTAAAAAGAGTTAAGGAATAAATGGGAGGTCAGGTATAAAAGATAATGAGATTGTTATTTTTATTGTAACATGAAATTGCAATCACAAATTTTTGTCATAATTTTTATCTTATTAACAGATTGTGTAAATTTAATTTTCTTTCCTTTTCCCTCCCCTTTTAAGTTGTACCCCTTTTCAGGTTGTTGGGGTTTTTGTTTGTTTGTATGTAATAAGCATGGAAATAAGCATGGGAAAAGATAAAACAATAAAAAGGGGGAGGAATCTGATTATAAGTCAGCTAAAGACTGCCAAGTGCTTAAGACCAACAAATTAAATAATAATATTCTAGTTTGTTTATTGTTATGAAAACTGCTTTGAGGGTCCTGCAAAATAACAATAATGTAAATAACAAAAATAACATGCAGACCTTTAAGGCATTTTACCATCAGCCCCAGCGAGAATATCCAATGTTCAGGAATGATGGGAGCTGGAGTCTACCAACATGTGGCCACAGGGTTCCACATCTGTGATCTAACGGATTAATCAGCTAAGGTTGCAATCATGTACACACTGAAAGGACAGCAATCCCTATTGAATTATTTGGGGGTTACTTCTGAGTAGACACGCCTTAGAATCAGAGTTGGAAGGGACCCAAGGGTCATCTAGTCCAACCCCCTGCAATGCAGGAATCACAGCTGTATTGCAGCCCACATTTCTTAGAATTTACTACACATTTTTAACAGTGCTTTTAGGGTGCTCACTAATCCTTACAGCAAGCCTATATGCTGTAAATCAGTATTATTATCAACAGGTTGTAAAGGAGCATAACAGTCTGAGAAAAAGAAGCAGCTCATCAACAGTGGCAGAACCAAGATTTGGTTCACAGGGCCAAAGATTAGGTTTCTTTGGCTTCTTCCCCAGGGTTAGGCAGAGGATGTGACAGAGGGATCCTCAATATCTGGAATCTTGTCACACAGAAAAGTTGCAGGCACCAGTGGACCAGTCTCTAATTTACTACATTTATCCTGGTTACTATGGGACGTGGGTGGCGCTGTGGGTTAAACCACAGAGCCTAGGACTTGCCAATCAGAAGGTCGGCGGTTTGAATCCCCACGACGGGGTGAGCTCCCGTTGCTTGGTCCCTGCTCCTGCCAACCTAGCAGTTCAAAAGCACGTCAAAGTGTAAGTAGATAAATAGGTACCGCTCCGGCGGGAAGGTAAACGCCGTTTCCGTGCGCTGCTCTGGTTTGCCAGAAGCGGCTTAGTCATGCTGGCCACATGACCCGGAAGCTGTACGCCGCCTCCCTCGGCCAATAAAGCGAGATGAGCGCCGCAACCCCAGAGTCGGCCACAACTGGTCCTAATGGTCAGGGGTCCCTTTACCTTTATCCTGGTTACTGAGGAAGAATGAAATGTGTACCATCTTGATCATCTTGGAGGAAGAGGTGGGATATAAATGCT